CGCCGAATAAAGAGAAATATATGCGGAAAAACGCCCTAAATCTTAGAGCGAGAGGGCAAGCCCTCGTCAAGTACAATCCCGACATTTATCTTCATGAAGACGTCTGAATCGACAAACTTTCTGGCACCATCGCCCTCCGCCGATTTCCTCGTCGGTAATGTGGGGGCTCAATTTAAAAGATAATAATAAGAAAGCTTTGGTCCTTCGCTTTTGATTTATTTTGATGCTTCTTCCCACAAAAATTAGTACCTGGAAGTCATAAGCCAACGTCCAAGCAAGATAGACAGTGAATGAACAAATCCTTGATTGCTAGCTTTTAAGAATGTGGTCATTTATTTTTCTTTTTTCTAAAACCATTAGTTTAAGTGCTTTTCGTAGACCCTTCAAACGGTCTGTTTTATAGCAATACAGTACCTTGCTTCGAATCTTGATACGTTCAGGCCCTGGCCCTGCTCAAGATCTTAACAAATATTTCTTTTCTAATTCATCTATCAATCTTGAGTCTAATTATTTTTGGAGGCATGCAGCATAAGATCGTCTTGTCATTTTCCTTAGAATAATATACTTCAGCTGCCTAGTAGAGTAGTGTTTTATATGTACTGGTCCCTCTGATTTATTTTTCTTATTATATTGAAAGCCAAGAGAAAAATGCTCCTTTGTATGGATTATTAAATTCTGTTTGGTCCACAAATTGTGGGGTTTTGACCTTGTCAGTGTCCAAGCAAGATAGACAGCAAACGAAAGGATGACGCTACGGCGAGTAGAAAGTGAAACTAGAATTTAATTTAGATCTAGGGGAAACTAAAATTTTAACTAGAAAATCCCCACAGACGGCGCCAAATTGTTTGACTCAAAAGATATTAAACTCTTTTTAAGCAAATCAATCAATAAAGATGAAGGGGTAAATCCTAGTTAAAGATAATTAACTCTAGATCCGAGATGAGTAGGAGAAATAGAAAAACATAGTGAAGTATAAGTGTTGACAGCGATTATGATCAGATTTAACGGTATAAGTAAAGATGCATTAAGTAACAAAAATATGAATAAAGGAAAAGATTCACCCGATCTTCAGTGAGACGGATCTTCTTTCATTTAATAAAGATCAATGGTAGACAAATACAAGAACCTTATGACCCTTTTTTGATCCGATGAAGGTATGGGATCACTGATCCTCTCAATTCTTTGGAGAGGTGTGTTTACATATTTTCTAGAAAGAGGGAGAGGGAGACAGAGAGAGAGCCTCTCCTTTGGGAAAGTCCGCCCCTCCTATTTATAAAGGGGGGGGGGGGGGTAGGGAGGTATCCATAGAAAATCCTACAAAAAGGTACAATTAGAGGGAATATTCAGTAGAATATTCCTTTTGAGGATCTCAAAACAGACTAGTTGTTTCATCACGACCTCGGCCTGTCCGACCTTGGACTGTCCGACCTCAGCCTTGTTGATGACGGTCCGACCTTGGCCTGTCCGACCTCAGCATATCCGACCTTGGCCTTATGTCTTCGCGTGCCGAATTTCTTTGGTCTAATTTTGACCCATACAATTGCTGCCCTCGACCTTGGTCGTCATTTGTCTCGCTCGACATCTGCCTTCGGCTCCACGTGTCGCTTGACACATTTTACCCTATACAACCCAACATGATAAGGAAAAAGGGAACACGCAATCAGGTTTTGAAACTGTGTCAAAACATGTGAATGATACAAGCCGTGAAGCGTCTACTATATCCAAATTTAGCAATATTATGTTTTTTGACCTTGACCATACTCACTTCTATCGCAGAATAAACACACTCGTTTTACTAGGGGTGAGGGGGGAAAAAAGCTTTACAAGGGGTTAAACACGGGGAAAAAAATCCTTCTGCCTCATATATTATCTCCAATACGACACTTATTTCCTTTGTGATCATTTGATTCGGAACAAAATTATCCTAGGACGTCAAATATGAAATGGATATACCAAGATTTTGGTATAAAATACTACTAATTGATACAAATTGCTAAACGCTGAACACAACAACAACAATTCATACCCAGTAAATCCTACTAGTGGGATCTGGGGAGAGTAGAGTGTACGCAAACGTTACCCCTACCCCAAAAAGGGTAGAGAGGCTGTTTCCCGGAGACTCTCGGCTCAACAAGAGAGACAATAATATCAGAAAAGAAACAAAATAAAAGGCATATAACAACAAAAGATGCCAGAAAGAAAATAACAACAACGAATAAGTAAAAGGACAATAACACAAAACTATGCAAAACAAACACAACATGGATCGCTAACAAACCTAAACAAAACTCTATCAGACTACCCGGTACAAAGAGGGAAGAACTCTCGACTATCCCCTAGCCTACCATCCTAATGCTCGACCTCCACATGTTCCTATCAAGAGCCATGTCCTCAGAAATCTGAAGCCGCGCCATGTCCTGCCTGATCACCTCGCCCCAATACTTCTTAGACCGCCCTCTGCCTCTTCTCGTACCTGCCAAAGTCAACCGCTCACACTTCCTAACCGGTGCATCTAGGCTTCTCCTCCGCAAGTGTCCGAACCATCTAAGTCGCGCTTCCCGCATCTTGTCGTCCACGGGAGCCACGCCCACCCTCTCTCAAATATCTTCATTCCTAATCTTATCCAGCCTAGTGTGCCCACACATCCATCTCAACATCCTCATTTCTGCTACTTTTATCTTCTGGATATGTGAATTCTTGACTGGCCAACACTCAATTCCATACAACATGACCGGTCTAACCACCGCTCTATAGAACTTACCTTTGAGTTTCGGTAGCACATTCTTATCACACAGGACTCCAAACGCTAATCTCCATTTTATCCACCTCACCCCAATACGGTGCGTAACATCTCCGTCGATCTCCACATCTCCCTGGATAATTGACCCTAAGTACTTAAAACTTTCTCTCTTGAGGATGACCTATGAGTCAAGCCTGACTTCCACATCCGCCTCCCCCGTCACGCCGCTGAACTTACATTCCACATATTCCGTCTTAGTCCTACTCAACTTGAAACTTTTAGACTCCAGGGCCTGCCTCCATACCTCAAGTCTCCCATTCACGCCGCCTCGCGTCTCATCAATCAGAACTATATCATCAGCGAACAACATACACCATGGCACCTCTCCTTGGATATGGTGTGTCAGTGCGTCAATCGCCAGAACAAATAAGAACGGGCTGAGCGCAGATCCTTAGTGTAACCCCATAACAATCGGAAAAGGCTCTGAGTCACCTCCTAACCCATGTCACAGCTCCATCATACATATCCTTTATCGCCCTAATGTAAGCCACTAGCACACCTTTCACCTCTAGACACCTCCAAAGGACGTCCCTAGGAACCTTGTCATACGCCTTCTCTAGGTCAATAAACACCATATGCAAATCCCTCTTCCTATCCCTGTATAGTTCCACCAACCTCCTGATAAGGTGGATAGCTTCCGTAGTAGAACGACCCGGCATAAACCCGAATTGGTTTTTCGATATAGACACCGCCCTCCTATCCTCCCTTCCATGGTATGACTTAGTAACTTGATACCTCTATAGTTGTTACAATTCTGGATATCCCCTTTGTTCTTGTACACTGGAACCATTATACTCCACCGCCACTCATCAGGCATCCTCTTTGTCCTGAAGATAACATTAAACAACCCATTTAGCTACTCCAAGCCTGCTCTACCCGCATATCTCCAAAACTCTACTGGAATCTCGTCCGGTCCGGTCGCTTTGCCCCGACTCATCTTACCCATCGCACCACGACCTCCTCAACCTTAATACGCCTACAATACCTAAAGTCTCGATGACTCTCGGAGTTCCCCAATTGCCCTAACACGGTGTTTCCATCCCCCTCTTCATTCAGAAGTTTATGAAAGTATGACTGCCATCTTTGCCTAATCTGGGCCTCTTCCATCAATGACCGTCATCGTCTTTGATGCACCGCACTTGATCCAGGTCAACAAACATAATTCCAAATTTATATCAAAACTAGTAACCCAGTCCCAATAACCAAACGATTCGAGGGAGTTCACATTCTTTTTCCCTTAGAAAAGGGGATAGGAAGGAAGCAGTTGGCTTGGCATTAAGGGCGTGTATTCAGGTTAGGGCTGGGCATAATTTGGTAAATACCGAATTGCCGTACCGAAATCGAAAATTTTGGTATTTGGTATACGGTATTTTGGTATTTGGTATGGTATTTGGTTTTAAGTTTTTAAAAGAATTGGTATTAGGTATGGTATTTCGTATTTTAAAATAAAATACCGAAATACCGATACCGTACCGAAATATATATTATATTACACAAAATACATATTATCAATTATAACATAAATATAAAAAATCTAAAAGTTTACTTTCCTTTATAGTCAAAGTTCATCAATTAACTCTAAACAAGTAACAAGACATTTCTAATGATCAAATATTCTTTTATGTACAATTTTCGATCGATATTTGGTAGTTTTGAACAAAAATTTTGTCAACAAACATTTTGAGTTTTGTGTTTTTGAGTACTTTAACTAAGAATATTAAAGTGTATGGCTCTATGCACTAGTTAGTATTCAAACCGAATAAACCGAAGTTACCGAACCGAATAAACCGAAACCGAAAGGAGAAAAACCGACCATACCGAATTTAATTAGATACGGTATTGGTATAGGATTTTAAGAAACCGAATACCGAGAATACCGAACCGAAATGTCTAAATACCGTACCGTACCGTACCGACCGACGAATTCAGGTAAGTGATTCAGTTCTTTATTGTCTAAGTGTAAATTTTTTATCTTTAAATTTACCTGCGATACAATGCAATCAAATCAAAATAAATTATGTAGGTTAGAACGGCCACTTACCAAAAACCAAAAAGTGAGTTTACATCTGCATAAAAATCTGAGGTCCACATGCACCGTGACAATCGTCATACGAGTCATACCCTAGAAGAGCAAGGAATTAAACAACCTGAGTCTCACGCGCAAAAATAATGAACGCTGCAATGAAAATGCCAGAAACAATTGAAGATGGAACCTTTGAAAACTCTTTAAATCTAAAGGAACATTGCCTGAATTTTCGTCAAATCTGATGTTGTTACCCAGCAACCCTGAATTTCTTGTTCGAAAGACTCAAATTTTTTTAGAGAAAAGGATTTGATAGAACGAAACTTCTTTTATACTTAACGAACACCAACTTTTACGTCATTAAATTAAATTGGAATCACTAATCAAAAGATAACCCAAAAGAATGTCCATCACAAGCACAAACAAGCACTAAAGATGTAACCACAACATTCCTTGCTCGATTCCAGGATGCCTTATGCTTCTCTCAACCCCTTGTAATCCTAGGCACCTAACAACAGTAGTCAACAGAGAGCCCCGCGGGTGTAGAAGACAACTTTGATAATACTGCAGCTCATAACTCAGAACCTTCCATTATATTTTGTCAAGCTTTTCAGCCTTAACAACTGGGTTGGCTTTCGCAATAGCATCTTGAGCAGCCTTGTGATAATCATAGGAACAGTCATGCTTGTCAGAGTAGCGATGGACTGAGCAGAAAAGATGCCCACATCGGCAATTGAAGCCAGTCAAACCAACTCGTTTCCTACAAGTATTGCACCGGTTTGGCCCCACTTTAGCCTTCTCAACATTATCGTTCTCTGGTGGTACACATACAACTTGTTTGGGTATCACCAGGGATTCTGCCGGACCTTCCTGAACACCAACAGCAACATCAACAGCTTTCACACTGGTGCTTGAACTTCCATTCACAAAGCTCTCAATAGATGAAGCAGCAAATTCAGCTTGTTCTTGCTTAAACATCATGTCCTTGTAGCACTTTGAGCACATGTTCATTGTTGTTGCAGTTCCAAAAAACCCACAATTGTTAACACAAAGGGTAGGAGCTTGAGGAGCTTGGCAACCTGTGTCATTTTGCTCCATCTTAAATTTTCCTGCAAGAAAGGCAACGTTAATGTACCATTCTAGTAACAGCGGGATACGATATCCCTAATTTCACTTTACCCCACTGCATTGGCATGCGTTCTTACAGAGATTAAATTGAATTGGCTAACATTTAGCTAGAGGCTATTGGCACATATTGATTGAGAAAGTAGTATCGAAACTGCCAAGTATACCAAGTTATATTGGAAAGTGAAAACTTCTCATTTCCTTGAAAAGCAAATCAACATGGTAATTTATCAGCTGATAGATGAAGATGGACTGCATCCACATAACAAAAAATTAAATTGTAGTAATTTGTTTTTGTATGTCCAAGCAGCATTGGGGAAAGGCAAGGTACAACAAAGACCTCAAGAAAATGGCAGAATCAAACACTATAGCTAAGAGTGTTATTATTATGCTGCTGCTGCATCCTCATGGTCTGACAACCAACCCATAGCTAGCTACCTGCCACTTAAGCACCATAACTAGAATACATATAAATTTCATTAACCATTGATTGCCTCCATTTCTTGTTCTACCAGGAGAAATCATGCCTCCAGAGACTGCCATCAAGAACTATTACCATATTGAGCCCAAAACATTAAAAACACAAGTATAATCCACCTTGTGTTGTTTCCTTGCCCCACGGATACATCAATGTAATTACCACTAGCCCATCTCTCCTAAAAAAATCACCACAGGCCCATTGCCGGAAGAGCTTGACATGACTGTACCCACTCAGGAAAAAAAAGGGACGACGGGGTACAGGGGGCAGATGCTACTAAATGGACACTGTTCCTGTCAGTTGTAAGTTTGTAACAGGCCCTATTACCAAGGCTAGTACCCATCTTCCCTTTGGCAAAACATTTTCAAATTCAGAGTTAGACCACCTATATAGAATTCTCTACCTTCCGTTTAAAATACTGGCACACTTACATGTACTTATTCCGCAGATGAACTGTGGAAGTCAAGAATATATAACAGGGAGGAGTTAATGATAAAACGTAGGAGAGTTTCAACAGATGATTGAGTTAAGTACTTGTAAGGGTCGCATAACATATGCATGGTCAATGTAGAAGGTTGATGGGAAACTTTGCAGAGTTACATGATAAGTCAAAAGGGAGTTGGAAAACTAAGAAGGACGAGAAAGGAATTGATGACTAACAGCTGAAGGTTGTGTCGCCCTAGAAAATGCTGAACGAAGAGAGATGCATGTGGGAGGTAACTCAATTGAACACAATCAAACTAAGCTCAGATACAGAGCACCAGAACTAGCCCCACATGTTCCTGTCACCTCAGCGATAAATAAGCTTGGGAAACAAAATACAAAACATATTTCCATTTCGAAAATGGTACAAAGGAGTTGATGAGTAGAGACAGTAAGAGCAGCAGAGCACTGAAAACCCAACAATTAGGGAGAATACGATGCCCACAAGCCAGAAAATTTTATTCTTTCTACTCCACTATCAGGAACCTAGCAAACACTTTCCACATAGGATACAATGACGGAATACCCCCAGGATGGCTTGACAATGTCCTACGCAGACTTCCATATGCACACATCCGTCAGTGAGACAAAAATGACTATTGAAGGTGCTAAGAAGGGACACAAACTAAAGATTACATTGATGAAAATTATCACAATAAACCTACAGTTTCACCGAATAAACACGGACTCAACAAAAGACGAAACACAATTGGAGCAAAAGATCAATATTGGTGAGAACAACTAGTTGGAATTCAAGTATAATTATAAAGTCACACTTGCATTAGGTGCTTGTCAAAAGTCTTCTTATTATCCAGCATAAACTTGTACGTTCGTATAGAGATGGATATCAGAGCACCTCTAGTTTCCCCAATACTTAATTTCCCGTAAAGACAAAATTATTTTGTAATGGAAAAAGAAGCTTGAGTAGATCAAAGTACATACAAAGGAGCTACTTGGGGATTGAAGCATAGTAGATTGATATAAATGCACCAGAGCTCAAAGGATCATACCATACTCCGAAATCTTTCTCCTAAATTAAAAAATGAAACTTAGGATACTGTAAATGGCTCTCATCACCTTCAAGGAAATCCATCATATTAATTGGAGTATTCTAAACTCGGCCAATAAATTCAGTCCATAGCCACGTTGAGGATTGATAGTAACGTTTTATACATTGAGCATCTAAAATTTTGAAATTTCTACATGGTTAACATAAGTTTTTATGATGATAAAGGTTATATAAAAGAAAAAAAAAAACTACTAGATGCTTTTCAATATTTTATATTTGTTAAAAGGTAGTACGAAAGCTGAGCTAAGGAATCTCTATTCATCTCCCCTCTTACAATTTCAATTTGAAACTTCCAAAAAAAAAAACTCACCTGTTCGCAGAAGACACAACAAAATCCTTTCTTTAGAGAACTTTCGCCTCCTATCCCTTCAAAAAAACAAACAAAAATATTAAACCACACAGAACCTACTATACCACTTCAAGCACTTGAAAAAAGGTAACAATAATATAAAACAAAAGATCAAAACCATAAAAAGCCGAAAGGGTATAATAATTTTGCAGCGATAATCAAACCCAGTAAGAGAAGAGGGAAAAAGAAAAGAGATGAAGAAAGCTAACCCTAGAAACGAACAGGAAAAAGTCTGGAGAAGCCAGAGAATAGAGAATAGAAGAAACTGGAGAAAAAGAAATTATTTATTATATAGAGGTGGAAAGAGAGAAAGTGGAGTTGTACTTGGAGGTGGAAAAGTAGTTAGCATGCTTAACACGTGTTGATTTCCAATTGGATATTTTAAATATTTTAGGAGCTAATACCCAATTGAAATGGGAAATAGGTGAAAAGGCGGTGGGCGTGAGTATAGGAGATTGTACCAGAAAAAGCAGTAGTTTTACGTGTTCACGCATGTTGGGCTTTGTTTAGTGGACTAATCTGTTGATTTGAAAGAGGGCGAGTCATGTGAAACGTGGCATGTTACGTGCTGTTGATCGGCTTCAAACCGACTTATCAAAGTCAAATTCAAGTTGTCATTCGAAAAACAAATTATCTTTGTACCTACTTGTGTTTGTTCTAGTTCTAAGCCTGAAATGGGGCGGGTTGATCGTTTTAACTCGCAAACCCGACCCCTAACTAGCTCATGTAACTGTAAAAATTACACGGCCGCCTTATTTGGTCGCCCCCATCTAATTTATACCTATTTTTTTTTTAAAGTTTTAATTTGTACCTATTTTTTAAATAACTTCAGCCCCCTTTCTCCTCCTCCTCCTCCTTCTCCTCCTTCGTTTTCTTCTTCTTCTTCTTTCTTCTGCTACTGTTGGTGCTGCTATGAAATTTTAGTTCATGGGATGATTGCCATAAGTATGTTTATCAGATTATTTAAAAATAAATTATAAATAATTGCGTATGTTAGTAGACAATAATTTGTGAATATTTCCACGTAATTCTGTTCTTTTCACGTTTATTATTTTCAAAATTTATGATTTAGATATTGTTGGCAATCTGATTATTTTATAATATAACACACTATGAAAGAATAAGGTGATTATTTATCTAGTACTAGATGATGTACCCGTGCGATGCACAGGCCCAATTGTTGTTTTTCTTCTCCTTTTTCTTCTTGTTTTCATCCTTTTAATATTTCTTGGTCTATTGTTAATTACACACTTAGAGCCTTTAGGGAAAGAAGAAAGAGAATATGCTTTTGTGTAATAACGTATAGAACCACGATTACATATATTGTTATTTATCTTTTGCATTATATGCATTTTAATTTTTCTGAAATCATATTACTATACCAATCACTTTGAAACACTTTGTCGAGTTTAATGCTTTATTATACAGTGATTAGATAATAATTCAAGTAGAATTTAAATTATTACTACATAGGGCCTTTTTATTTTAAAAAATTTTTGCATCACTAAGCCTTAAATTAATTATTATTAAATAGTAATTAAAAACTCAATTGAAAAATAAGTCGTCATGTATTTTTCTCATTTTTTAAATTGAATGATATATAGTTTTATTCTTTTAGTATTTTTAGTGTGTTGATGTATTATTTTTTTTCTTTTTGTACTAATCAAATTTCAAATAATAAAAAATATTCATATTATTCCCAAATAGTTGATGAAAAGGTATTTTTTGCTTCTTTGAAATAATAATCGTGATTTTTAGTTATTAAGAATTTAACAAGAAAAATTATATTTTGTTCTAGTTGAATGACATAATATTATAAATAAATTAATATCTCGATCACTCTAAATACTAATCAAATTGACCGTAAATTGAAATAATGCAGTTTTTTCTAGTTTCATTTGATATGATTGAGATACTATTTAGGGTATAATGCAATTTTCATCACAATAGTAGTATTTGTCGAGACTATTTTAAAAGTAATTAATTATATATTTATGTATTTTGAAATTTATATAATGTTGAATTCTTATTGAGTAGAGTATGTACTCAACTAACTTCGATCATAGAGGGAGAAGTATAATCTTGTATGACGATACTTCTCATACTTCCTAATATATAAGGATTTTTAAAAGAAAACAATTTTACAAATTAATTGTCTTAATTTTTACTTCAAATATTCTCAATTCATATTTTAGAGAGGGGATACTTATTATACAATGTGAACAAATTTTTTATATTCTATAATAAAAAAGGGGACTTGAAACTATATTTTATTCTTAAATAAAAAAATTTCCGAATTTTATGAAGTATTCCAACTGAAATTGCAATTTAATGAGAACCTTGTATAAAATGATATCAATTGATAATGATATAATAATATTTGAATGTAAATCTACATACTTTATCACTAATTCTTTTTTAATGAAATCTTCTTTACCTGTAATAGTTAATAAATAAAATAATATTTCTTAAGGAGATAATAGAATTGTCATATATAAATGTATATGACCTTAGTATTTTTAATCAGGTGAATATTTGAATTATAAAATTATCAAAAAAATAATTTTTCTAGTTAAAAAGTACTTATTAAAAAAATAATAATAACAATCAAGTAATGCATTTAATGAAGATAGTGAAGGTTGAATTGAAAGTGGGGTCCACCTAAAGAATTTAATAGCTTACGGGCACATTAGTTTTGGTTTTTCCAGTTATTAAGAACCCACAACCAAACTTTTGAGCCTAGTATACAAACAAACAATGCACTAATATATTTGAAATGATCATTATGCGCTTGGTCAACATCCTCTTCTCTCTTCTATATAATAGAAATGTTAGAAAGCTTTTTCAAAAACTTCAGCTATTTTAGTGTTGAAGTTTTTACAAATGAACTAAATAACTTCAGCATCTTCTGCTGAAGTTTTTGAAAAAGCTTATCCAGGACAAAAAAAACTTCAGCTTATATAGTGCTGAAGTTTTTACAAATGAACTAAATAACTTCAGCATCTTCTGCTGAAGTTTTTGAAAAAGTTATATGACAAAACTAATGAATCTAGGATAAAAAAACTTCAGCTATTTTATTGCTGAAGTTTTTACAAATGAACTAAATAACTTCAGCATCTTATCTAGGACAAAAAAACTTCAGCGTATTGCCTTTGCTACTTCAGGTCCGTCTACTAGAATGCTGAAGTTTTGCGTGGTTGCCTTTGCTACTTCAGCCCCGTATGCTGAAGTTCGCGAAAAAGTGGGTATGCTTGCAATTTTTTCGCAAAGCGGGCACAAGTTAAAATATGACCCAAAAAGCAGGTGTAGATGCAAATCCCCCATGTAACTGTAGCTGATTCAGGTTGGCCCAACTCTCTAGTGGGCTTGAGTTGCTTCTAGAATTTTTGGCCCATAACTAAAAGAGAAATTGACACCGGATGACTACATTCAATAAGAAGGATAATCTACATGGTATGCCCATTGAAAATATTAGTTTACACCATATACGATTAAGATATTTTTTTACTATGTATACCTACTTTATAAATTTATTTTACCATGTATATCTACTATATACGATAAAATCGGAGGGTCCAATTTTTGGCCATTACAACGCCTTGTGAGCAAGGTTTACAAAGGCCCGAGGCTGCGGTCGAGATTTATCCCGAGGGGCCATCGGTGTCCAACCTCGAGGCAGCGCAAGTCAAGGGTTGTAGCAGAACAGTGGGAAGTTCCTAAGGCATATAACTAGAGCTGACAAAAGTATGGTGGGCAAAGTTCAGACCTGAATCATAGCGTCAGCTAGCTGTCCCATCTACGTATCTTTGTAATAAAGTATTTGTACTATGTTGGGGTTTCCCCTCATATATAAAGGGGAATCCTTGTCATTTATAAACGTCTGTTGCTCAATACTAAATATACAAGAACATTCTCTCTGCTCTCTAACATATTCTCTTAAGTTTCTACTTTCATTTATTGCTTACATTCATTGTGTTCTATTAATTGTTCTTCATTTATTGCTTATCATTGATCATAAAGGGCCATCATCATAGCTCTTGTAATTGTTATCCCCCTCTCGACTACCCCGAATCGGCCATCCGGCTCGACTCCGAGGCCTCACAATCAACGGCTCGAGACCCCCGATCTCAACTGTTCGGTTCGACTATCATACCGTTTCTAAGCTATAATCCTGATTTTTAACCTTTTACTTAGCATCCATCACTTAATAACTAGCATAAAAATAGATCACGTATTTTTAGAACCTCACAATCAAATTTAATTGTTATTACCATTTTTACGGTAAACAGTTTGGCGCCCACCGTGGGGCTAAAAATAATAGTGATTATTTTCTTGCTGGTTTAACCACGTACGAAAGTTATCTTTCACACTTTTTCTTGTCCAAGATCTTTGATTTCAGGTCAAAATGTCTAACTCAGTAAACGGTCGTGAAAACATCGATCTCGAAGACCATGGGGAAAATGGTGTTGACGTCCCAAGTGTTGGTGTGCCACCACAAAACCGTGAGGATGCACCAGAATCAATTCTCGTGGACGTGGTCTCGCGCAACGCTCAACACGTCGAAATAAGCTCCTACACCAACAGGAGCGTGCGCCAAGAAGATCAACAAGAAGCTCAAAAAACCCTAGCTAGGGAAGAACGGGAGGTTAGCCTTCACGTTATTTTTGAAATGTTACAAGCACAACAGCTGGTGATCGCTCAGTTGCAAAGTCACCAGAAAACTCCCAGCACGGTAGCACCGGGGACGGCTCCCCTAGCCGAGCAGGTAACAGAAAGGTCAAGCAACAACGGGTCGGCGGTCGACCCCGCTATCGTAAAAATGCTCGAGGACCTCACAAAGAGGATCGAGTCGGCGAAGAGAAGATAGAAGACAACG